GCCCATTGTTGCGAGGAGCCCCCCCCCGACGGGACAGCCGCGCTCCTGCCGCCGCGCGGGGCCGCTTTCCCTGAGCGCGGCAGATGCGCACCCGAGGCCGCCGGCGCCCACCTCCACCTGCACGGCCAGGAGCTTTAGGAGCTTCCTACGGGGGGTTGACGGCGCAGGCAGGGCAGGAGGGAACGGCCTGAGCCCCCAGCAGGGATGAGGCGGCAAGCCAGGCTGAAATGAGAGGCTGGGAGCTGGCACCCGGGGCAACGAAAGGGGTCAAAGGCTAGCCCTTAGCAGGAGCCAGCTGTAGACGACAGAGGTGGGAGCGGGTCACCAGGCCCATTGCCAGGCGCTGCCCCTCAGGTTGTGCAGTGGGAGTAGGCTCCGCGACTGGGGCCTCCGTGAAGAATGCGGCTGCTTCTACTCGCAGCTGCTCAGCCCGAGGAGCGCAACCGGAGCCCAGCTCCAGGTCCTGCCCGCAAGCCAGGTTCAAGTTGACCCTGAAGGCCTGTGTGTCCCTTTTTAAACCTTTTCCATGAAAAATCGAGCTTAAGTCAAATTTGCAGTTTTCCAAACAAATCCGTAAGAAAGGGCTTTAAAAAAAAAAAAAAAGGGGTGGAAGGGCTGGAAATAAACCACACTAGATTAACTTCAGTTAGTAAAATCTGAGTGGACTGGACCCAGTAGTATGGACTAGATGCAGTTTCCACTCCTTCGTTTTGTTTAATAATGTTCTGGATAGTTGGAGGCCCAGATCTACTACAGAACCGGTACTGCCACCGCCACCTTCTCCCTTATGAAAACTATCAAAAACCACCATAGTTACGCTCAACATGCAAGTTACCAGATTGGCTTACCAGTGAAGAGCTCACGCATGTGAAGTCCGATTCTGATCCAACTCCCACCTGGGAATAAGGCAACCCGAGCTGGCTGACAATTTGTTTAGAATAAAACTTTTTTTTCTGTGGTTTTATATTGAGTTACTTTATATACAATTGGTCATTTTCATGTGATATCCACTTCTGGACACAAATCAAGTCTTGGTGTGCTGACATATTGACATGTTGTTACATAAACAGCCAATTGCATTGTCCTTATGTAGTAGCATAATGGACAAGTGGGCTCATGCCTGCGTAACACTGGCCACAATGCCTAGATTCAATAAGGAATTCAAGTGCCAACAGAGGAGTTGGCTGGGAAGTCACTTACACTCCAGAATCAAGGGAAGGCACCAGTCCCCTACAGGAAGAAATGGTTCAGTAGCTCTACAAAACTGTCCTATCTTTAAAATCTGCATGGAGTCAGGTATTGGACAAGCAGAGTGTACCTGTCTGTGCCTTGCTCCTAATTATGCCTCTCTACAACTTTGAGGCCTCATCAGCTCTGCTGTTTGTAACAGGGCACTACACTCAGCTCCCCCCTCCCTCTGCCAGCTATCTCTCTCAGGTCTGAAAGCACAGAAAGCAAGTACTGCTTTTCAGCAGTGGGATCCATACTGTGCTTTTTCTCTTAAGTATTCACTTCAGAAACCAACCGCTCAGCTGCAAATATGTCAGTGACACTCACCATTATCTCCTCTGATGCAAGAGCCATCACTACTGAAGTGATAGTGGGGTAACAGCTGGGTCAGACTCAATCCAGGCAAGGTAGAAGTTACCCTGGTTGGAAGGAGAGGGTACTCTACATTTAGACCTGGCCAAAATGATGTTGTTTTACCCCCATCCCATAAACACTTTAAGACATGCATTCACCAAGTGGTATGTATTTTTAGATTCTTGCCTGACTGACTAGTCACTTTCCTTAAATGACTACACAGCAATCTCAAAGTGACTTTTCACCTCCAGTTTGCTAGCAACCTTGACCCCTTCTTCCCAGATGAGAACCTGACTACAGAGAGGTGTCACCTCCAGCTGAGACTGCTGAATTTGCTGTGTCTACAGCTGTATGTTTAAGTACCAGTACTGGTGTAGCTCCTAGCCTTTCCAGTGATTTCAGCCACTTGAAGCATAAGATCATCTGCAGATACCATATTGCTGACTTTTTTCAATGCCACTATACGTGGCCTTCATCCTAATCTCCAGGACTGTGATTTGATTGACTACAAACCCAAAGTGTTGGTTTAGGAGAAATTAAATGATTTCTGGTCTTGAACACCCTTAGGAAATGCTGCAAAATCTTCCTCTAATAAATCTTTTTCATTGTTTAGAAATATAATTACAACAACACAGGGACAGACACAACCAATGCATTTCATTCATTTGTTTCAGCTTTGACACCTTTTCTTTCTAAGAAGTTTTGGATTTTCATCACATTTGAAACATCATTAGTTAGAAACAGGTTCCCAAGGATTAGAGCATATTTATAAATCCCTCTCTAAAGCTTAGACCTAAGCCAATAAGCTTAGCACTATGCTCTAAAATTAAAAATTAATCATCAGGTTTTGACCTGGGAAAAAGGGTTCAAAGTACAAGTTTGTTGGAGTGAAGGAACATAGCTAGCAGTTTGAAATTTGTTTACATGCTGGCCAATACATTTATCCCTAACTTCCCCAAATCCCCCACCCTCCCATCACCTTTAAAGTTAAACAAGCATATTCATTATGATTACAAACAGTAGGCACCGCTATAGTGGATTTACTGTATAACTCTAGCGGTATGAATGGAGCTTCTTGATTAAGCTAAAACCACTGGCAATGTGTCAAAAGAAATACTGCTCAAGTTAATTAAAATTTGTAGGCCTTGTCAAAGATAGCACATACTTGCCTACCCCTATGGCAAAGAATCATCAATGACTTATGTGTACTAGAAATATCAGTTCACAAACACTATATAGTAGAACCTAAGCCTCAGTTTGGTTTATCTGGCTTTTTTTTAAAAAAAAAAAGAAACGTTTGCTTTACTTACAATATAAACAGCAATGGAAATTTGGGGTTATTGCAAAAGAGGGGGAAATTGAGGTCTAAAGTGAGCAACAGGTGACAAGCATGGGGCAAAGTAACAAATACTATTTTTTTCATGGCAGCACTCATGTATTATGTGTACATTTGCACAATATGGCCCTCATTTTTCAGGAGAGGTTCCCCCCCCAAAAAAACAACCAATAATGTACTACCAGCAACTTTCTTTTTCCCTGTTGTAGCTTGGAAATGACAAAAGTATTTTTAAAATACTTTACTGCTAGCTATCCCCCACACCGTGTATTCTATGAGCTCAGTATGCAATGCAGTCAATGCCCGGCTCCACCTAAGGACCTCATTTAACAAGTTCATATAGCTGGTAGAACCCAACCACAATGTTGAACCCTATTAATCATAGTGGAGCTTATATAGTTCACCTGGTAGGGTTCATGCCTCAAGTTCTTGTACATTTCTTGATCAGTTTATGATGCTGAGGAGGTGCTCAGAGTAACTCAAGGAGCAGATCCTCCACACCTCACGCTGCTCTGGCACCTGAGGATAGTGATGTGCACATTGGAAGTCTGGATACTATTTAAATCCAGCTGTTTGAGGCCATTTAAGTTTGAAACCCTAAACTCAATTGTCTGGGAAGCAGCAACTCCATTACAGCATAGTAAATTATATATAGTATCTTGGGATATTACTTTAACAGAAAAAGAAACAAAGCTAAAGCACTACCAAGAATCATAACAGGAGTAAGCATCGGTCTAAATTTAATAAAAGCTAGAAACAGATTTTAGATTTAGTATAACACACGTCTTGACAGCTTTACCACACCATTTCAGAGTATGTGAAATGCATGCAGTTAACTATGCTAACTGTAACCATTGTTCAAGCCATTGGACATCTCTGCCAAAGAATATGACACTGGCATTCTGACTTTCAACATAATAGTACTAATCATTAGTAGTGTAACCCCCCGGCCAACTGTGTCACATTGCCCTCTAGTGGTCATTGGGGCTGTTAGAAAAGTTCTGCTATTACTCTTCCAGTTCGTACAGAAGAGGTCTGTTTTCAAGATGTTAAGGTCAGAGGCTCAAATCCTGCTGACAACTCACATGAAGAAAATAAATGCCATTTGATTAAGTAAAGTGTTTCATAATGCATATACAGGAGGTGGCAAAAATGGCTGGATAGAAAATGCTATAATGAAGATGACCTACTTGCCTAATCTACAATTATAACCTTTTAACAGAGTCTCTACTCCCACATCACAAACTCCTTATCAAAGGCACCAAGAACATGTAGGTGAGAAAATGACTCGCATTATTGACCTTAAACAGGACCTCTCTAATCTGGATTGTGACATGCTGGAAAGGAATCTGTATTATACTTTCCATGCTACTACACTGTAGAAGTGCAGAAGTTGTGTTTATTTAGTTTCTAATATTCTAATCGGTTTTATTTCCAAGCAAACTACACAGTCCTTAACCTACTGGTAATGGACTGCTCTATTTCCTTTTATTTACAGCTGTTTAATCCCACTAAAAAAAGCAACTGTACCCAAAATCTTTTGGAAGTAGTCCCTTTCTTTTATTGTTTGTAAAGAGAAACACCCAACATAATATAAAGCATACTGGGCAAACTTAACTCTATGCACAGCATGGGATGTCAACAGTATGACAGAGTTTAGCATACTATATAACATTTTCTAGGACAGTTAAGAGACTTAATAAAAATGAAAGATGGAAAACAATGAAAAAATAATGGAACGGATCCATGGATCACAGGAAAGTAGTGTTAAAAGGGATTTCCTGTACTCCACCCCTCTGCTCAGGGCAAGATTCTGACTAAACCATCCCAACCGTCTTGAAAATTTACAAGAATGGAGATTCCATAACTTCTCTAGGTAGCCTGTTCAAATGCCTTACCACCTGCATAGTCAGAAAGTTCCTCCTAATCTCCAACCTATATTTTCCCTGCCATAGCTGAAGGCCATTACTCCTAGTTCTATCCCATGCAGCCACAGAGAAAAGCCCATTTCCATGCTCGCTGTAATTGCTCTTCAGGATTTAAGACTGTTGTCAAATCCCTGCCTCAGTCTTTCTTCTCCAGACTAACATAGCCCCAGCTCTTTCTGCCTTCCTCATAAGTCTTTCCTCCCAGGCCCCTAATCAATTTTTGTTGCTTTTCACTTTCCAAACTGTTCACATCCTTCTTGAAGTGTGAGGCCCAAAACTGGACACAATACTTAGGTGAGGCCTCACCAGTGCTGAATAGAGTGGATACATCATGTCCCTTGATCTGCAAGTTACACTCCTGTTAATATAAGCCAGTAGGTTGTTGTTGGGTTTTTTTGTTTCTTTGCTTGTTTGTTTTTTAGCAGTAGTACACTATTGGCTCATATTCATAGATTTCATGTGGACACTGACTTTGATGTCCACTGGACTTTGATGTGGACACTGGAGTCAGAAGCGGACTGGCCAAGTTCACCAATGACACCAAACTTTGGGGCAAAGCATCCACACCAGAAGACAGGCGGGTGATCCAGGCTGACCTGGACAGGCTCAGCAAGCGGGCAGATGAGAATCTGATGGTGTTCAACGCCGGTAAATGCAAGGTTCTCCACCTTGGGAAGAAAAACCCACAGCATCCTGATAGGCTCGGCAGTGCTACGCTGGCTAGCACTATGGAAGAAAGAGACTTGGGGGTCATCATTGACCACAAGATGAACATGAGCCTGCAATGCAATACTGCAGCTAGTAAAGCGACCAAAATGCTGGCTTGCATCCATAGATGCTTCTCAAGCAAATCCCGGGACGTCATTCTCCCCTTGTACTCGGCCTTGGTGAGGCCGCAGCTGGAGTACTGCGTCCAGTTTGGGGCTCCACAATTCAAAAAGGATGTGGAGAAGCTTGAGAGAGTCCAGAGAAGAG